TTTAGGGTTTTGGTTCAGGGTTTAGTTCGGTGCCCGTGTTTTGTAACGCAGGAGGATCTCTCGGAGACGACATATGCACCCGAGGCGGGCGAGGACCGTGGCCCCGGTTGGGCTTTGCTGGAGTGCTGGAAACCCTAAACAATAAGGGTTTAATATAGGAGCCTTAATAANNCTATAAGTAGAAGAAGGAACCCCCAAAATAATATGGGTAATCATTGAGGTCCCCTACATTATGCTGCCATAGCCTACTACTTCTTATCACTGTATCCTAAACCCTAAACCCCCTTAGACCCTAGATCCTACTTCGTCTTTTAGTGTGTGAGCTCTGACCTAAAAAAAGCCAGCGCCGCTGCGCAAAACTAGCGTTTGGCGTATTAACTCTGCAACCTCAAACCCTAAAGCCAGATCCCCAAGTCATAAAGGCCTTCTATTGTTCCATTGAAACCTTCAATGCTAAACCTTTAAGCTTCAAACCTTAACGCCCCAAGTTAAACTTCATAGCTTAAATCCCCAAGTTAAACTTTAAACCTTAAAGCCCCAAGTTTACACCCTAAACCCAAGTCCTAAACCCTAAAGCCTACACTGCATGGGTCTCTTGTTTATGAGTTTGAGCTAGGGTCCCCTCTACGTTTCCTCATCCTAAGAGTGGCGTTGAACGGGCCTTTTGTTTGAGAGCTACCGGAACCTTAGGGTTTAGGGTTTAGGGCGCTTCAATTCTGTTTTGGTGTCTTTGAGCTTTTGGACTATGACTTAGAGGTTAGAGGTTTCTCCAACACATAGAGGCGCAAACCCTCTATGGAGTAAAGATTCAGGGCTTGGGGAGTGAAGGGAATTTAAGTGGAAGTTTCGTTTAAGGGCTCGGGCTTGTTTCGGGGGTCATGATTCGGGTGTTCGGGTTTAGGGTTTAGGGTCCTCAACCCTAAACCCTAAACCCAAACCCTAAACGGGTCATGATTTGGGAATTCGGGTTTAGGAGTTCAGGCTCCTTGTGGATCAGAAGTTGGGAGACGGCGTTTTACATGGTTGTACCTGCTGGTTCCTTGAATACAGGGGTTGGAATCATCACCAATACTATTCCCTACGGTTGATGATATAAACCCTGCATGACCTTAAGGATCCTAAACTATGGGAATTATGGTACGTTCCTTAGGAGTACTTCCTGCCTAAGGCGTATTGAGACCAGATACAACCTTCAATACACCTAAACCCCTAAACGCTAAACCCCCTGAACCCCTAAACCCCTAAACGCTAAACCCAACAATGCTTTAGTGATATTTGGGGCCTTGGGTTTAGTCAATCAACATCAAACTCTGCGGGCAAGCTGTGCACCGGCCCTTCGCCCACTAAGGTATCGGTATCGGTCTCAATGGGTCATAATCGGGTGTCAGAGTACTTAGAGGTTCATGGGACTTAGTAACTAAGGTCATAAATAAGGTAACTAGATTTATAGTTACTTATAACCCCAATTAGGGTACTTCGAGCCTTACTTACTAAGTCCCATGATCCTCCAAGTAAGGGGCCCCACATATGTAGATCGTTTGGGTCAGGCTTTGCCGGGGTGATGGAGCCGTATGGAGCTCGATAGTACCTATTTCAAAACCCGGTGAAACCCCGTTACTTCCCTGTTTATTCCTTAGGGTTCGTAACTACAGTTGCATTTGATACGCCCCAAAAGCGTATTCTAGTTATCAACAGGCACCTAATCATACCCGAAACACCAATACATTCGTCTCAGACCTCTTTAAAGGAACCCTTACCAGGAACTCTAGATGTCCTAACATAGGGGCCTAGAATAATTACCTATACTATTTGGGGGCGGGGCTTTAAAAAAAAAGAACCCTTTAAGGAACCCTTTAAACGAACCCCCAAAGCCCTATTCAAAATATTAAGGCCCCTAGACCCTAAACCCTTATAGTGGCCCGTATAGAACCTTTACAGGAACCCCCAAAAACCCTATTCTAATTATTAAGGCCCCTACCTCAAACCCTTATTATAGAAATCCTTCGTAGGAACCCTATTCTAGAAACCCTAAACCCTAAACCCTATTCTAATTATTATTATTATTACTATTCTTCTTCTTCTTCGTATTCTTATTATTATTAAGGCCCCTACATTAAAACCTTATTATTGGAACCCTTATAGTAACCCTCTTAAAGGAACCCTTTAAAGGAGCCCTATTCTAATTATTAAGGGCCCCTACATTAAACCCTTAGTATAGAAACCCTTATTGATGAGGCGCAGGAGCCTCTTATAGGCAAGCTTGACAGCAAACCATGGGCTTCAGTCCTCGAGCGAATTGATCTTTTTTTTCACACTTACAAACGTCCAAGCATCAAAGCCTTCAGCGAACATGTCATTTGACATTCGTACCGATTAGGCTGACTGCTCTACATGCTCTTGCAGGCATGTCAAAAGTAACCGCTGCTCTCTGCAGTACGCATGGTTGTGCAACGGTCAGTAGCCCAAGGTCTTTACACGTAGCCTTACCTGGAGCCACAAACAAAAAGGCGAACCGGCAGCATGCGACTCCAGCTCTTACCCCAGCACCACATGACCGAGATCCATAAGGGGCATCCCCATGTCTTCACTCCTCCTTGATGCTGCCGTCAGGACGCATCACCAGAACTGGATGCCGCACTTTGTCCGGAACTGTGAAGTCGGGTGTTAAAAACCCTCTCGTACTCTTGAGCTCGCTCCAAATCCCTCCCATAGTCAGCAGACTTGTCAGGATCATCTTGCGCCCGATTGACGCAATATTGGCAAACTCTTCGTCTCTCAACCTTTTCTGCAGTGCCCTTAAATGCATAACAGTCCCCGTAGACATGATAGCACTCGTTTCCAGGGACTACATATGCCTCGGCGGGTGGCTCGGGGACATATCTCAGAATAACCCGGACTTCCGGTGCAGGGCACGGTACAAAAGCACCCGACTGAACACCGCATTCACGAGTTTCCTTTCTTCCACTAGCCAAACGCCGCAATAGCTGCATACGCTCTTCCGCATTGCGATCTTCCACAGCCCTTGATGAAGCCTCCAGCGTTGCCCTCGGAGGGTCTTGCTTCTGCTCAGCTGGAAAGGTTTCAGCGTCTTTCGCTCGCTGCTCACTCCTTGTTCCAGATCTCACTTGAAGCTCTTTATGGATGGCCTCGGCTGTAGCATTGCGCAACTTCTGTAACCTTTTCATTCTCCGCGAACTTGCACCAGGTGTAACCTTGTCGTACGCGACCCACATGAGCCACTTCAACAATTCCCAGGCCACCAAGAACACTATAACTGCAGCCCAGAGAAGTGCCCACGTCAGCATCCCATAGTCGACCGTTAGGCCAGCCCTCACAACAACCGCCTCTTCTTCATCCCAGCTGTATGCTTTCCCAGTCACGGCTTGCGAAAGTACAAGGAGTGCTATTAAACCCTTGGGTATAGCCTTAGACTTAGGGATTTTCTTAGGGGCACAGGCTATGCTGCTGCTGCTGTTGTTGTTGTGGTAGCTAATGCTGCTGATGTTGACGCTGCCGCTGCTGTCGTTGCCCTCATCATCATCCGGGTTGTATAGATTGATTAATTTAGACAACGACTTCATTCTTTGGGACGCCAGTGCCTTAGTAAGCAAGTCTGCCGGCTGCACCTCTCCGATGCAGTGGTGCAATGATATAGCTTGGCTTGCTATGAGTTCAGATACCCATGCACTCCGTAGGCGTAAGTGACGTGTTCTCCAGCTCCCGCTTCCATTAGCGATAGCCAGTGCCGAGGTAGAATCTGAGAACAACTGCAGCTTCTGCCCTTCCGGAAACACATCCTTAATCATCGAGTCCACGCTTTGAAGTGCTAACACAGCCTCTGACACCGCCGTAAGCTCGGCTTCTGCCGTACTCAGCGTTATTGTGCTCTGCCTCCCCGACCGCCACGAGATGACGCAGTCGTTGAGCATCACAAGCCAAGCTGAATGGCTTTTGCGTCCTTCCGGAGCAAAGCTGGCATCACAATATCCCACCAGGCCAGATTGGTCACCTTTGTACACCAGCGCATAGTTCAGAGTCCGCTGCAAAAACGCTATCGTCTTCTCAGCTATCTGCATAGCTCTCCTCGGCGCTCGAGTGGCTAGAGAGCCTACTAGCGACGCCACATAGCTGATGTCTGGTCTCGTACGCTGCGATATCCATAAGAGTTCACCTGCGCATTGCTGAGCTCCTCTTAGTTCCTGATCTGTATAGACCCCCTCGTGCTCCTCAACGTTGAAGTTCGCCAGGTCCTTTGAAATGGGAATAAGATCTTTGCGAGCCAAGGGGACTTGGTGCAATCGAACCAGCTCCTCTATATACGACCTCTGCGTCAATGCAAAGCCTCGCGTACACATAGCTATCTCTATGCCCAAGAACCTTATTGCCCCATCTGACACCAACTGCAGGTTGCTCGTTTTCCATACAGCCTTGATAGCCTCCGCAAGCTCCTTTATCAATTCGGGTCGTCCACATATCAGCAGGTCGTCAACGTACACCACCAGTATTCCTATCAGTTGCGAGCCCTCTTGTAGAATCGACCACCACGATGGCTCGACTTTACCCTGCATGAGGAACACCTTCTTACCTTCAAAGACCAGCTGAATCTGTGCCAAGCGTATGTCCCTATACATTCCCCAAAGCTTTGGTGATTCTTGTAAGCCATATACTGCCTGCGTTAACTTCCAGAGCTCTCCAGGCTTACATAATCCCGCTTTAACGAGCAGCCTGGGGGGAATTCCATAGACAAGGGGCGCGCCTTTCAAAGCCTCTAGCGGTGTCTGCAAAAAGGCAGCGACGACATCTAGTATACCAAGATCCCAGTTAAGCATCCGGGCAATTGCGATTGCTGCCCGCACGATTTCCGCTGGGGCTGTGTTGGTGTATACTTCTCCTGGCTCGTGCGACGCCATATTTCCGCAGATCACTATACGGGACTTCCTCTTGTACCACACCCCAGGAGAACTTCCATCAGCCGGTGTGTCCGGTGGCTTAACGGTGAAAACCACTTTCATAGGTATCATTTGTCCCCGACCAGTTTGGATGTCGTCACGGACTGCTTGATCATCGCAATGAACTTTGTCAACGGCGTGCTC